ACCACCTTAGAAATCTTGATGAACCTTCGTAAATCTAGAAATTAAAAACTACGGTCTTTTTATGCACATCAAAGGCTGGACTTTGACAAAAACCAGTCTTTTGTGTTGACAAGTCAAGTTAGATAGACAACGAAGCGTCCCAGGTAGTGACATTTCAATGATACGTGTCAATACGTCCCAAGAAATTAAAGCTATACATGTTCAAAATTGATTACATATGGAACCAATCTACTACGTACCACCTCCCTCCTCAGCTCTATAAATGGGACACGATCTCAGTCGCTCAATCCACCACAATGTCTTCATTCCTCCTACACCTTCCAAAAAATGGCTTCCCTTTCTATCAAACAATCTCTACTAACCATCCTTCTTGCCTGCATTGTCTTTGCCACGGCTCCCGGGAATGTGATGGCTCAGTCTGTGGACAGCATTGTCACACCCCAATTCTTTGATGGCATCAAGAACAATGCTCCCGCAACTTGTGCTAGGAAGAGCTTTTACACCCGGGACGCCTTCCTTAGCGCTCTCTTAGTTCCTTCCCTAACTTTGGACAACTAGGCTCTGCCGATGACAACAAGCTCGAGATCGCTGCTTTCTTTGCCCAAGCCTCACATGAGACTGGATGTAAGTATTGCTCCATCCATTCCTTTTCAGGAGATTTAGTTTCGTTTATCTAATAAAATAGGAATATAATAATAATTTATTGATAAAATTTTATATTTATTTTTAATTAAATACGATATAAGTAAAATATTTTATTTAATATATATTATAATTATTTTTTAAAATAATAACAAAATCAAAATAAATGTATTAAATAAAATTTTAAAAAATACAATAAATAATTAAATTTAAACATCTCAAATAAAAAATTAAATATATTGAAATTTAACTAATAGAATAGCAAATTATTTTGACTCCTAAATTCAACTCTTACTTGATTACTTAAAAGTTTAAGTTTAATCATTTTTTTAACATTTAGTTTAAAATCTTGTTTCCTCTCACTTAAAACGTGTATATATATATATATATAAGTACTAATGCTGCTTTTTGTCAGCTTTCTGTTACACTGAAGAGATCGACAAGAGTAACACCTACTGCCAATCAAGTACGGAATATCCATGTGCTGCGGCCAAGTCCTACTATGGACGAGGTCCACTCCAGCTAAGCTGGAACCTGAACCACGGAGCAGCCGGAAAGGCTTTGGGGCTAGATTTGCTGAACAATCCTGAAACTGTGTCCACTGACCCTGTTGTGTCATTTAAGACTGCATTATGGTACTGGATGACCGCAGTACGTCCTGTGGTGGGGCAAGGGTTTAGTGCAACGACTCGTGCTATCAATGGTCCAGTTGAATGTGATGGAAAACGACCTGATCTGGCTCAGGCCAGGGCTAACCTCTACACCAGCTACTGTACCCAGCTTGGTGTTTCTCCTGGAACCAATCTCCTATGTTAGGCTATCACATACCATTGTACCAGAAAATGGGAATACTATTTTCTTGAAATAATGCTAGAGAGGCTTGTTGTGAGGCCTGAAATAAAACGAGATGTTTAATTATGAAAAACATATTTGAGATTTCTAATAAAATGTTTCATTAATGAAAAAAGAGTAGTATTTCGTTTTAATACAATAAATGAAATCA